TTTATATATCAAAGAAATAACTCAAAATATATAAAAGCAAGATAAGTCAATGCAAGGCCCTGCCTTCTGCTACTTTACTGAAACTGAATTTTAGCATGATACATCACATTTAAATTTTGGCTACTTGCCAGCTGCCTATGTGTCCCTTAACAAACTTGATAGTAATGCCATGCTAGTAGCAACAAGTATTTTATTTCCTTACCTTCTGCAACTGAATTGCAGTAAACCAGAAGCACCTGAGAACATTTCTATGTTTTTCCAATGGAGTGCACATATTTTACAAATGTGTCAACATTACACACACCTCAAAGATCTATACCACACATTACAGCCAAATTCAATGTTGCATTACAGATAAAAGTTTCCAGAAACACTCTCCTGCATTGTTATTCACCACACTAGAAACATGCATCATATATGGATCATGGTTCTTAATAATTTTAATTTGTCACATCTAAAATTCCGGGCAATAAACTGTTTCTAAACATCTATACAGTTTACTTATGATGATGTAAAGTAAGCTTTATATTAGAATGATATGAACCAAAACTGACATCCCCAACAACCTTCAATACAGAACCCTAGTACTGAATGTCATGGAAATTTGAGTGATTTTAAACACAAAACATACAGACTGATAAATGCAGCATCACCATCATGCACGTATTTTGTTCGCTTTGAATGAGAAGCGTCAAAAATACATACCTCCATTCAAAAAGCATATATTTTTTTGGACTGTTGCTTTTTCACGCTTTATTATTGGTTGTATTAATACTGAACAGCAGGTTTTGGCTAAAATTACTCATCTTCAGGTTTTATTAATAGCACATAGGACACTGCATATTTTAAAAGCAATTAAGAAGTAATTTAAGATAAGCCAATAAAGTTTTTAAACTGTTATTGGCAGACAAAGTAATATTCAATGGCAAATTTTTTTACAACCAAATGCAAACGCAAACATAAAATTTGCCGAAAAGTTCCCATGAAATCATCCTACTAGATCATGCAAGGAAACTGCAAAATGCCGATTTAGAGAAGTGTCAGCATTTAAATATCTGGAGGAATCACACAGACAACTTACATGAAGGAAAATTAATTGAAAACTGTAATTTTGTCCACTCAGGTTATGTACCTAATACAACAAATACAGTAAATCGCAAGAATCCTTATATTTCTGAATCACTGTTCTTATTGAGAGGAAAGGTGCAAACTGAAAGAATTTACGGAAGATTGGATCCCAAATAAGTGAAAATTGAAGAAATTATGACAATGAAATTTTCTCCAGCCGCCATGGCAGTTTCTTCAAGGGTAGTATTATAAGGTCAAACATGTAACCTGGATGGGTAAGAAAACAAAGAAACATGAATAATTTTTGCAGGGAAACCTTTTTAAAAGCACTCACTTCAGAGGCAACAGATATGAATGACGTACATACATGATGTGACATGGCTAATAAGGTTTTAAACTGTTAGCACTGTTAAACCTAGTTAGCTGACTTATGTGGTAGGTTTCAGTTCTCAAGCTTACCTCCTAAATGCAGTGGTGTTGAAAAGTAAGTTCTTCAAATGATCATGGTGTAGCTTGCAAATTGACTGGTGCATCTAGCTCAGCATAGTTGCAGATCCTGTAAATAATTGCAGCACCGACTTATGACAATATGGCATGACACTTTTTTGTTGGTATAATAAATGGACCTAATTCTCTGGTTTCCTACTTTTACTGTTAACAAAAGCTAAGCCCTTGAAGAGATGTTTCTATTATATGTGATGCTGATGTCTGTACAGTCCAAACATAATGAGAGGTTTCTGAAATGTACCCATTCCTGCATGTTGTACCAACACCATACTAAACTAATGTTAAGATGTTTATATATCAAAGAAATAACTCAAAATATATAAAAGCAAGATAAGTCAATGCAAGGCCCTGCCTTCTGCTACTTTACTGAAACTGAATTTTAGCATGATACATCACATTTAAATTTTGGCTACTTGCCAGCTGCCTATGTGTCCCTTAACAAACTTGATAGTAATGCCATGCTAGTAGCAACAAGTATTTTATTTCCTTACCTTCTGCAACTGAATTGCAGTAAACCAGAAGCACCTGAGAACATTTCTATGTTTTTCCAATGGAGTGCACATATTTTACAAATGTGTCAACATTACACACACCTCAAAGATCTATACCACACATTACAGCCAAATTCAATGTTGCACAAGTATTTTATTTCCTTACCTTCTGCAACTGAATTGCAGTAAACCAGAAGCACCTTAGAACATTTTTATGTTTTTCCAATGGAGCGCAGATATTTTACAAATGTGTTAACATTACACACACCTCAAAGATCTATACCACACATTACAGCCAAATTTAATGTTGCAATGCTAAGTGCATTACAGATAAAAGTTTCCAGAAACACTTGCCTGCATTGTTATTCACCACACTAGAAACATGCATCATATATGGACTGTAGTTTAGCCCCAGTACTGAATTTCACAGAAATCTAAGAATTTTAAACATAAAACATACACACTGATAAATGCAGCATCACTAAAAATGCATGTATTTTGTTCACATTGTGTGAGGAAAGTAAAAAATACATACCACTGAACATTAAATTAGAATTTAGTGCAAAAATACATACCTCCATTCAAAAAGCTTTTTGGTTATGTACTGCTGCCATTTCGTTTATTCACTCATGTATTCCAACCACTGTGTATTGCTACTGCCATCATGCCAAAGACCACTTCAGGAGAAGATATGTTCTGCTGCAATTCAACAAATTACAGTACTCTAACACAATTCAAAATGAGGCCTTCATGCATTACATCTGTGCAGCTGCTGGCTATTATGGACTGGTATTTGATGTCTGCAGAGCAACATTCTGAAGCATCTAAGCACAGACAATGTTTAGCTTTTATACATCTTGGTATGATTTAAAACTTTGAATTCCACTTCTTTCAGCTCATTACATATTCACCCACAAGGTTAAACTAGAGACAAAATGGAAACAATAAAAACTTTTTAGATATCCAAGAATAGTTAAAAAGTAAAATGAATATAACAGCAAGATTAACCAAGTAAACTATAATCTAGCATTCCTCATTATGGAAATTTATCTTACGAAGTATCATGCCATGGATGTTGGTTAATGCAATAAAAGTATTGGTTATACCACAATTTTTTGGCCTTGTAAGCACCAATGAAAAAAACATGTATCCTGTGAAAGTGAAGATGACATGGGGATAGGAGGTTCTGCAACAGCAACAAATCACATTATATATATATATATATATACACACATTTTTATTAATGTCAGCCCCACATAAACAACAAGCATATTTAAAATGGTAGTGTCTAGACTTCATATACTTGCTGTGTCATGTCAACTCTCCTGTATTTCAAAAACTCTTCCTTCCTCTGTATTCTTGTGCTTTAAAAGATCATATTCCCCTTGCATGCAATAATACAAATTCTGAAGATTTCTGTCTTCTAGGTTGTTGCGCTGTGTAGTCTGGTCGATGCTAACCAACATTTCAGAGGTCATACTGCCTCAACACCCTGATGACAGAGGCAGTATGACCTCTGAAACGTTGGTTAACATGACCAGACTACACAGCGCAACAACCCAGAAGACAGAAATCTTCATACTCACCGCTGTGAAAACCTCAAATCTTACAATACAAATCCTCTTTTAACCCGTCTCATCTCCACCAGCATGGCACGCTACCATAAAATTAAACACATTCTCAACGATCAACACGAACTTGGAAGCCTCTAACGATAAACTCATTTGGTTGAATCGCTTGCCTGTCCTGATAAAGGTGAATTGTTGCTAGCCACAATCACATAATGTAGGCTGATAAAGTAGGAGAGTAGGTGGATAGTATTTTAAATGTCAATCAGTACCTCATGCAACTATTTCTCAACACACCACCACCTGAAATTCTCCCTCACACCAAGCACATTCAATGCATATACTGAAAGGAATGTTTAGTATCTACCGATGTAAAATTGGATTTTAATAATTATAAAATTAGCTTTAAACACTTTGTATCGGGATTTTTACTGCATCTAATACACAGATACTGTCAAGAAGATTCATCATTAAACTCACCGAAAAACCCATTTCCATTCAATGTAGCTTGAAGGCAAATGCAAGATACCATATTTAGATATTTTTGAACAAAACATATTGTTAACTCAATAAGACAGAACATTAGTACTATCATTCCCGAGTCACAATTGCCTTACCTAATATACGTGATCGAGCAGAATGTCTTGAAATGCTACACATCAGACTAGTTCACTTAAGCTAACTTTAGTCACGCGGGCACAGCCACTCTCACTACTAAATGTTTCAAATTATTTATTCATGGCTTTATTCATGACACTGTCCGTACCTGACTAAATCAGCAAATTATATAGTAATTAATAAACTGGAAAGGATATGGCAGGAAGACGTAATGGCAAACATCCATGCATTTGCCTGGCGGAGCAAACGAAACCATCTTGTCCAAGAGCTCGAAAACTGGTGGCCTTGTATCAGCTAACATCGTTTGAACAACATGTTATCTCTAGTTAATAAATAATAATTTCACTTAAATAGCATAACACTAATTAATAATTTTCACGAAATAGAGCAATTTACACAGCAGAAACTTATTCAATGAACAATCGCACATTAAGCAACGTGACCTTGCAACACACGACGCAGGCAATTCTTGAAGGTCTAAACTAACTACTTAAAATACTATTTTTGGACACCAATCATTCCCAAACAATAAAGACTTGAATTACATATTTACCGATTGAAAAGCACGAAGAAAATATCAATTGATTACGTCCAATACTTCGTCAATCGGCGACTCCATACTCCTCAACCACTTAGCACAAACCACCTGACGACAACGTCATTCACAAGCACAGAGAATCACGTCGTAAGCCTAATACGTTACTCTGTACTCCGTGCCATCTGCCACTTGTATAAAATCCACAGATTATAGAGAGGTGACGTAACAGGAGTACACGTTACACGACGTTACGAACAACCAACCCTAAATACCTAACACCATAGATATGACTAATGAAACAAATACATTCTATACAAATTTTAAATAGTTGTTTAATAAATGTAATATTCTCCCACTAACCGGCGAATTATTGTTTTCATTACTAGCGTAGATGTCCGTCTTCTGGGTTGTTGCGACCTGCAGTCTGGTAGAAGTTTACCGACAATTTTGAGGAAAGCAGACAAGCAATGTTTACTAGAATTTAAAGCAAAAAGGCATTTCAAGCGGGGGGACTGGTTGAAAAGAATATAGCCAAAGGTTGGGCTGAATAAGAATTGGCCAATTTCCTTGCGTAATTGCCAAATGGGAGCATAAAATTCAGTCCCATCCCATATTTTGAGGACAACTGCTGCCAAATTGCCATACCCTCGACTGAAAGATTATAACTTTGGCCTCTGATGTGCACTTGAAAAATCATTTAAGGTCACTCAGGCAAAGATAGAGTGTGTGTGTGTGTGTGTGTGGGGGGGGGGGGGGGGGGTTGTTTACCATTGTTAAATACCTAAAAATTGGGCATCAAGCACTAAATTCATGCACATTTAGGTCATTGTTTACATTTCCTTCTGTAACTTCAAATTGTGCATTAAGCTCTAAAATGATACAACTCACTCGACTCCACCCCTTGTTACTGACTGACCAACACAGAAACTATGTAAACCTCTGAAGTTTTTAGAGAGAGAGAGAGAGAGAGAGAGAGAGAGAGAAAGAATGAAACCAGATTTTGCACAACCTACTCATTTTCAAACTTAACAAGAAAGCACCCAGCACTATTGTTGTGGCCCATCTGGTTATAAATACAAACAGTAAGACCTGTACTACTTTGGAATATATTTCTAAAAGCTTTATATATGTAAGTGCAGATCACTTCCACAAAAGCTCCAATTCTCAACGACATCCAACAGATTGTAGGTCTATATAATTCTTCATGTTTTACTGAAAGATTTATAATGAACAATAACTCTTTAGAAACACCTTATCCAGGATTAACAACTGATTTTAGGTCTTGCTAAGCTAAGTTAGATCATACCTCTGTTTCGATGTCCAAGGTCTAGTAATCCTGCATACAGATGTGATGTCAATACCAGGCCCTCTGAGTGTCCTGCTTCTGACGCTGTAACCCCTTTGTTCAGTGAATAGCCTCTTTCTTGATTCTTGGATAAGACTTGAGTATCAACCTCTGGACACAAAATATTCTTTTATTAAACTTTTAATATGCAATTCATAAAATGTTTATGACTATAATTAAACTTGGTCTTATAGAAAATAATTAACCAATTAACTTTAGTATGTGAGTCAAGGGTTCTGTACTCTTATGCTGCATGCAAACCTGCTGATATGTGCTATGAGGCCAGTGCACATCTTTTGTAATTCTGTCATCTTGTATGACTACCAAGTTAGGTCAATGGTATCAGAAAACACACACTGTTAATGCCTTAAGTATTTGTCAGTACTTATGGCTGAGAACAATTTTTCAGTTTAATGAAGAAAAATCAAGAAATACGATACATCTTACTTATGAACACTTGGCAGAATGCATTCATATCACAACAGAAATTCAACCTGATAGCTACTGAAAGCCTAACTATTTTGAATATTGTAAATGAACCTATTCAAACGGTATACTTTTTATGTGTATGAAGAGTCTGGACTTGAGTAAGTACCGTGTCACTACACACTGTGTGTCAATAAAACATCAGTGTATAAATTCAGAATCAAAGCCAAAGAAAAAGTACCCTTACAAATGTAATTACCTATTGACTTTCCCAAGTCACTGCAATAGCATTCCTCATTTTGTACCATTCTGCCAGACCAAGTGCCATCGCTTCCTCATACACATGAAGGATATTTGGTGCCTCTACTGGAAGGCTGCTATGAATGATTACAGCATCAGTTATTGCAGTTTCTCAGTTTCATGTCATATGGTCTGATAAAAGGGTGACTCATATCAATAGTATATGCAAAATATTAACCTCACTACATATCAGAAGGGTACATACAGAGGCATCCAGTTATTCAACAGGTTTGTAACAGCCACTGTAATTTCTTATAAAAACATAAAAGCCAACTTAGTAGAATAATTTACCTTAACTGAAAATTCTGAATTATAGTATATATCTATGAAGATGACAGTTCCTTGATATAATTACCTTGCTCTATAACTTAATGTCCATATCCAAATATAACAACCAATTATGTATTTGAATTATTTTTTGTGTTATGTATACAAGACATTCTTTTATTTGTTCTCCACCCTAGTCTTATGTTGAACAAAGAATCTATGTGATGTAAATGAACTGTAACTATAATCCTTTCCTGAAAGTTACTGACAAGTAAAACCCCTTAAAAATTGGCTGACTTGGGACATGTGTTATCTGCAAATTTTTTATACGGTGGATTCTGGGACACATCAGGACTAGAACACTTTGGCCCAATTACGCGAAGTTCCACGCAAAGAGTTAAAAAGGTTTGTTCTTTCAGATTTGTCCCAAATAAAAGATTGCCCCGATTAACCAGTGGCCCAATTAACCAGAATCAACTGTACTAGTGGAAAACGCATATTAAAATTCAATAGGGGATGTTTTATTTCATATTTTCATCCCTTACTCCCTTCCAGCCCTTGATCCCTTTCTTACCTTCATGTACTTTAGATATGCTTCTGAAAAGTTGTCTAATGGTAGTAACACTTATAAAATAGAACACTCTACAATCTAGCATCATTACCAAGAGCATGGCCAGTCATAAACAGTAACCTATTTATTATTTCACAGATTCTGTAAGTGAGAATTAAACAGAGTATGGTAATTTCACATCACACAAGAAACACATTAATAAATATTATTATACTATTGAAATCATAGTTCTTACTTTAACACCCATTATCTACGTAAATATTATTTTAACATGTTTGGGGGGGGGGGGGGGGGGGAAAGATGAAAGAACATGTCTCCTAACCTTCCTAGTCTACCTACTAAACCACAACAATCTTCTGAAGAATAAATTAGGATGGGGCGAGGGTGTTGATTTTGCTTCAACACAGGAACTTGATAAAGTTTCCTTTGTTCGGGTTTCATCAGAAGAATCATCAATTGTCTTGTAGATCTACTACATTAGCACTTGTTGCATATTTATGAGAGGTTATAAGTGAAGCTTCAGACATTTTCTAGTACAGACTAACACAAAGATCAAAAGATGGTAATCCATGAGACAGCTTCTCCACTAAACAGTTGGAAAACCTGAAGAGAACAGAAAACTTTGGAGATGTAGGAATAAATGGAAGAACAAAATTAACTTACTCCGTGAATCAGAGGTCTTCTTGGAGAGCTACACCTTTTATGTAATCAGAAGATTTATTATTATGTTTCTGAAAGCCTACCACGAGTTACTATCCTGAGCCTGATAAATAATATCTAAGTTCCATTTCAGTATTATCTCCCATGTATGCGTTTCTCCCAAGCGGTCTCTTGCATGCAAGACATACATTGACCACCTTTGTATGCAGTATTCCTGTAACATGTCAGGCCTTACCAATCATTTCTTCGGGAAACCTACAAATTTTTAAACTAGAGACACTTTCTCAGGACCAACTTCGATCAGAGGTAGCATAAAATGGAACTCAGTTTTATTATGTGTTCTGTACACTAAATACATGAAGCAGGAAAACGGGGAGGCGAGTTCATGAACCAAACCTCCTAACAGACTCACAGCTTTACTTACTACCGAGGTCTAGAAAGCATATGAGAGTAATTCTTTTAGACAGTGTCAACTGTCGGGGAGGGGGGTCTTATTTTTTCCAGAGGCTGGGTAAATCTCAGTCTTCAGGTGGTGAAAAGAGTATGTACTCTGTGTGGCCTGTTACATAAAGCAAAGTCATATGATAAATATTTAGTGACATGCATGGCTAAAAAAATATCTTCGGACACTCTGCAATATGAGATCTGTAGTGTGATAAGCTCTTTGCAACAACACATTTGATTCCACAACAAATAAACATTAAGACTTGCAAAATACCAAAAAATTACTTTTGAGAATATGTGAATTAATTTAAATACTATTAAGCTACAGTTGTTTCATTTAACTCGTTCTTACACTCTGCACACAAGCATTTATTCTGCTCAGAAGCTATTAATTTTTGCCATAAGTAAATTCAGCAACGAACGCTATGAATCCCAAAACTTCTCCTAGAACCAGCAAGAAAAATACTCCCTGGAGTTGATCAAGATTTAGTTTTGTGGGGCCTAAATTTCCAACTGGGATTCGACTTGTAGATATCTGCAGCTGTAATCTCTCAGACATGTAGCGACGGATTACATCACCCTCCCAGTAAAGTGGCAATCCTGCATCACGTACCCGGGATACCAGAGTCCTAAAGTGGCGCATATATGGTGAGCCCTTTCGCAGCAAGATGTACAGGTGGCTCCAGTACAGAGTCCCTCGCATGATGCGGCGATGCTTCACTGTGCCCCCATTTATATGTGGCTCTGTTGTGAAATGACCTGTAATCCAGTTCAAAGATGTGTTAATACAATACAGTCCGGTTAAAAAACAACATAGAATCACATTCTAATAATATCTTTATAGCAAAAGAAATAACTTTTAATTTTAATAATAAGCTTAGAAAAGTGTACTCTGGAGTACAATGACATTTAAAAGATGTTCATCACATGCCATTGTTGCACTAATGTTCTCCAAGGTCACTGTTGGGCAACAGTGTGTCCAAATAATTACCTTAGATAATTCTTGAACTAATGATGCAACCAAAATAGTGAACATACAGGGGTGTCTAAGGCAAGGGAGAAGTGGTCTGTGGGGTAAAGCCCCTGGAGCAACAATACTTGGGAGCCAGGTCCCAATAAAGCTAGCATCTTGGAAAAGGGCCTGGGTAGTAATCCTGGTTGGAGAAGGCATTGGGGGTATTACCTGGCAGTGCCTTTTTGAGGGCTTAGTTCCCAAAAGTGGTCTAGCCTCAATGTGTAGCAAACCTCCTCCTATAGGGGCAGTTCAGATAATCCTTGGGACTTGGAAGTTCTGACATGGAAAGGTAGAGGCAAAGGGATGTTAAAAACGATGAAAGCAAAGCAAAGCCAAGGAGGAATGCCACTGATGGCAAAACATCAAAGTAACTCATCCTGGAGGGGAAAAAGACCCACAAGGACAAGTAGAGGTCCAACTCATGCACAAATTCACAGCCTCCTCCCAGATACTTCACCTCCTTGCAGTCTCTCTATTCCAAATGCCAAATCTCCACTCCTCTGGCCAATCTCATTCATCTGCTCATTTGTCAAACAACGGAAATTCTCAGTGATTGTCTGCAGGTTTGGATTATCATCTTCTTCAATGGACCAAATCCAAGCAACGTGGTTTCCAGCCCAGATAACATCTCGGTTGGCAAGGTCTTCTATCGTTTCAATTGGAGGTTCATATCTGCAGAATAAGAGATTCATGCAAGCAATGTATCATGATTTTAGGCTTTTCTACGCATACTGGTTTAGATATGCTTCCAGTAAAAGTGATAAAAATTCGGCAAGAAGGAAGTTCAGAACGTCCTTTCTCCTAAGTTACTGAACATCACAGCTGAGTGGTTAACACTCCTGCTTCGTATTCAGGGGGTCTCCGGTTCAAATTTCAACCTGGTGACTGGCTGGTTGAAATTTGGTCAGTTAATGCAGGAATCGAATAATCAAGGATCGGTCAACAGAGATTTTACTGTACAAATAAAAAATAATTAATTCTCCCCAGTTAATGCAGTACAATCAGTAAAACCACTGATTTAAAAGAAGCTCAAAACATGCTTTAAAGTTTTCTCAAGTGACAGCTCAATGTACCAAAATGCTTCTATGTAACATAGGTCTCATTACAATATTCAACTTTTACTTGAAATATGTTTGAAATGGTGTATATTTTTAACCAAATAAAAAAATAGATATCTGTAATGCCTATAGTGTGACTGGCTTAGAAACAACAGATTTTTACACCAACAAGTCCACAACAAAACCAATGAGGTAAGCAAAATCACAAAAAACACACTTAGAAAACCTAATGTATTGTCCCAAAGTGACAACAGGCTTTAAACTGCATAATAAAAGCAAATAGAGTTGAGAATCCCAGTTACAAAACAGGCCTATACCTCGGTGATGACAACACAGATGCAAGACCTGCATTGTAGGTGTCAGAGATAACCTCCCCCAGAAACTGGAACCAAGCAACAAAATGTCGAGCCGGAACATGTCGAGGAACGTTGGAATTCCATGAGAATGTGGGAGCCTGGTTCACTAACATGGCATAGGTGCGTAGTGCAGTGTAGTCCATCTTGGAGAATGGGTTCACTTTGTCTTGTGAATTGCCTGAAACATATATTAAGCAGAAGTTAAAACATTAGGTACTGAAAGTGAATGAGCTGTAACAAGCTGAACTAGGAAGTTTTACTGACCCCTTGAAGGTATGTGGTATGAAAACATCAGTTTGATAATGCAATTTATCCTTTCCACAAAATAACAGAAAGCAGTAGTGCAGCTATAACTAAAAAAAATGTAATGGTATCTATTAGGTCCCAGTAAATACACACATGTAAAATGTGCCATAAGAGGACACCCCACCTTTCGCTACATCTAATTTCCTATTGCAGGTAACTCACCAAGATACTTGTCAACAAATCTCTGTAGATTATACAGAATGTATGTGGACCCCACAAGACATGCGCCGACTGCTCCCCACATTGTACTAGAAAAGGGCGCCAGGGGCACCATCCAACCAGGCAGTAATTTAGGTTGTGGTGTCACCATGGTCACAGAACTGCGCATGTGCGATGCAGGAAAGTCCACCACTTTGAAACTACTGGGCCATGCATAGAAAGCTGAGAAGCCAATATCTGCCTGGTCCATCGCAACGAAGCCTAGCACTCCATTTCCAGTACCATTGTCAAAGGCATCACCCCAGTAGTTTTCAGGATCTGACGTTACCCTAAAACCAGACACGTTACTTTGTTTTCTGTAGGTAATGTAGTTTAGAGGTTAGAATGTTTTAGCAGTTTCCTTTACCACCTCCAGGTGTGTGGTTGTCATTGTACCAACATACTTATCTGATATTAACAGCAGCAGAAATGGATCTTAGAACAATGATGCAAAAATGTGGACAAACTCCTTTCGTTGGCTTTGTGAACAAAGTAATGAACCTTTGTGGTCTATAAAAGCAGACTATATAGTGATTGTGTTCGCAAAAGTCTTTTACAAAGATCATGTACTATTTACTGAACCTGTTGAATACCAAACTTGTTAACTACTATTCGCCCATCGAAATAACATCGTTGAAAAAATTACTACATTTGCGAAGAGATTGAAATACAGATGGCACATGATAACACAAGATCATATCTCTCCAACGCAACGGGCGAAACTGGAAAATTTTCAAAGAGACACCTCTATCGAATTGGCTAAATTTTAAATGCAGAAAAATCTCGATATCTCGACTTGCCTGAATGTTGAGTTGATGTATCGCAAAAACTCTCGAACAACTCGAAACTCGATGCCGTCGTACAGTGGCGGATTTGCATACAAATCTAAAATTACAAACGGTGGGTAATACCACGTAACCAGGGTCAGCTCCTTTCCCTTCACGTCCCTTGTTTTATCAGGGAACAGATCTAAAGATCTCAAGAACTTCCCAGTGCATTCGCCACTATTTGGTAACCACACATCAATAAGTACGTTCTTTGAAGTTTCGGAACCTACGAATCTGTGTGTTCGAAGTTCAATCTTAAATTTAGAAGTAACGGTTCCTACAATTATCGAGGAATTACTTTCCGTGCATTCTCTTTGAGTTGAATTATTTCTGCCTTCAAGATTATATTTTTTAATACCAATATTCTTAAAACTTTTAAACCGGTGATTGGTGTTAATTCCATCTCGTTTGTTTTTATTCTGTAGTACAATTCTGGCAACAACTAGATCTGGCATGTAATTCATCTCTTTCATTGTGAAAATATCGTCTGCATTCATGTCTGGAATGTCATAAATAGTAGATCCTTGTAGAATTGGCAGGTATAAATACTGTCTATTTGCCCTGAACATCGCTCTACGCGATGCTCTTGCAAAGCAATGAATGACAGGTTTTGGGTTAGAGACTTGAATTACATACGCTGGACAACCTGCATTTAAAGATTCTATTAGAAGTCTCTCAAATGCCAACGTCCCATCACTCAGGGAGGCATAATCCAAAGTGTCACTTTCTTCCAATTTTAAAATCGAATCATTTCTTCCAATTTGAATATGAAATCTGAGCAATGACTTTGGGATATAATCTATAACATCCGAATTTATCTCTGTGATTACTCCAACGCATGCAGCACCGCCGAAATTATTTAATATTATATTGTGTGTCATTTCTCCAACTGAGCTGATTAAAACGTCCTGATGAATTCCAGGTTCGGACGTTACAGCCAGCCATTGCAAGGAGATAGAAATAATTCTCACTAGCTCCCAAAACATTCTGACCCAAGAGTGTGCCATATTTCTGACTGACAAGGGAAGCGACTGCTAAAAACAGAGCAGGCCTAAAGCAAGGTTGAACCATGCTATTAGGCCTTTATAAATATTAATATCAATATTTATTCTGTTTAAACTTGAGGTAAGAGATGCATGATCAAAGACGTATTCTCTTTCATAATTTAACATTTCGTCTTACACAAGTATAGTCAGGTTAAAATTTCAGATGGAAGAGCTTGCATTGAATTTGGAGGCATTTGGTTCGGTTCTTACCCAAGTGGCCAGCTATCCCGACTGGGTTCTTTGCATAGCTTTCCCAAAAAAAATACGACAGTATTTTCACAGGGCTCTTTACAGTAATAAGTATGTAAACTATCCTGTTCATGATGACCGTTCAAAATTACGAACGATATAATGCTGTAGTTTAACTCTGCCAAAGTAAGAAGAATTAGGAAAGATAATTTGTGATTGCCAACTGAAAGAAATTTCAACCCCAACATCCCCCCCCCTCCCACCCCGGAGATACGCTGGACAGAAACAGAATGTACGTTTAGAATGAGAATAAGCAATTATTTTTATTCGGATAAGACTATTTCCGAACAACTTCAGGCCAAAGAATCGCTTGAAAAAACGTTCTATAGCTGAATAAAATTGTGAATAAGCTACCAGTTATACACAGTAACCAATTATATTTCTTCAACAGAATATCAGAATATATAAAATTTAATTAACAATAATTGGGATATGATGGGGGCCTGTCCTAAAATCTGACTGGTACAGACCTGTTGAAGTCGTTATGAGGCTCGTTAAATCAAATCTGGTTTACTTAAAACCTTTCACTTCTATCAAAATCTCGATTATCTTTCGTGGATTCAATACTTTATGCTACAAGAAAATAATAGAAAATTTGACAAAGAGCTACATAATATTGTGACATCGTTGCGGGCAGAATACTTTTCGCGGTCCGTAAAATGCCCACCTCTGAAATAGCCGAAGTCACCACGGTCCTAACATTTATTGGGAACCTCTCTTTAATTAATAAATTACATGCCTTTTAATGTCTGTAGGAAGATATTTCTTCCCGGTCAATACCGAAACGCTTCTTAATCAATAATGAATACTGTGCATGGCCTTTTGTTTCATTTTGTGTCCACATTAAGCACATCAACTGTTTAATGTTGACAAGAGGATTATAATGACGTAAACTTTCGTGTAACAATGCGATGACAAAGGGCAGAATAAACAAATACAATATTCATTACTCAACCGTACTGAATTACAAAAGTTCAACATACATAAGAGTGCTTAAATCACCAAATTTATAAGTAAGAGATCATGTTCTCACGGCGGCTAGTATGAAAATGGATTTCTGCAGAGATGTACCGTACAGTCTGGAATAAGTCTACCGACGTTTCACAGGTGCTGCACCTCTGAAATGCCGGTGAACTCCGCCAGACTGACTACACGGCACAATAACGCAGATGATAGATTGAAGGTTGTGGTGGTAATTTGTTGCACTCTCCGACCGCCTTTGCCCCGTTGCCGATTAGGTACGAAGCTGGGTGTATATCAAAGTCTATCTGAAGTTGATGGCAAAAAGAAAAAAGCCAAAAACCGAACCTCGACCGCAGAACGTTCAATCTAAGGGGGAGAGGGAAAAGTAGTTTGTGCATGTATAATACGAGTATCATCTTACGAAATTTTGCATTTTTAATCGATCCAAAAAATCCAATAGAGACGTCACTCTAACATGCACCCCAAGTCACGAAATTCACCGTGAAGTACAGCGGCGCATAATAAATGCTACTACTTCCTTAGGAATGCAAATTGATCATTTGTTTAACTTTCCTGTTGTAGGATTAAGTACATAGGAAACCACAGGTGGACATAAACCTAGAGGAAGGACATCATTATTATACGTGCCGAATCAACTACAAATTTAGGATCAATAACGCTGACGATTTAACCCTCTGCAGAACGACATTCATCGTGCTTAAAATGTGTGTTCCTACTCCAGAGAAAACATGACGAAGAACAACTGGTTAATACAGTTTATGGAGATGATAGGTGTTTATTATGAGAGTCATACTAAACCCATAAATACACTCTGTGGGTTTATTGCAGGCCAGGCAGCAAGCACCTCTGAAACGTCGGTATACTTCAATTAGACTACACGGCGCTACAATTATCTTTATTTGTGTACATCTCATTCGCCCATACCGAGTCTATCTTTATCCTTCCAGTAGTTTCCATTACTGGGGTAGTTTCGGAGATAAAACATGTGTATACCCAGATACTTTGAAATCAGACACACACTTTATTCTTTTTGGGCAAAGTAGGAATCATATCTGGTGGTAACTTGTTCCGGATATAGATTATATTTGCAACCAATTCTCGATTCTGCCACTCAGTCGATTGAAGCGCGATTATTCTGTTTCGTCGTGTATCCGGCATCAGTGAAATATCGTGAGAGTAGGCCTATAACCTAACAAAGTTATTGTACATACATCAGTGTGAACATAATAAAATTACTGCCTAACAGTGCTTTGTTTAGAATTTTAATATGTTTCGCATTCAGGCACAGCCGGATAGAATTGACCCTGCTGAAGAGAGAAAGAAAGCGAGGGATAATGTATTAGCAAATGTAGCCACATTTGCACTACTCATTGCACTTATTAGATCAGGTATGTAATCAGTTCACATATACATTCGTACATTACAAGTCTGAAAACTATACATTTGAAAAACCAGCCACTTTTCTATTGCCAATGTTCCTTGAAGATGAACATATTTAACGTTCCTAGTTTTTGGACGAAATGTTTGGCTTGTGGGATCGAGGTTTTCAGGTTATGGTGGAACTCTGATGCAGTTTTCCGTTTCTTTGTTTCAGTTCCCTATGCACTGCGGCAGTTCCAGTAATGAAACAGTTCATGCTTTTGTTAAAAGCAATCAGCAACTACATGCAGCAGAATCCTTGAAAACTTCATATTTTATTGTGAATGACTATAAATAGCATCTTATACATGTAACAAAATATTGTAATGCCACACCAAATAAAATAGTTGTGGAAAAACTCCTCTTATTTCTATATGTTCTTAGTGGAAACTTGTACCCAATTTGTAGTACCTATTTTTGCCAAATACAATTCAGCATACTTCCCTGGTTTGGGCACATATATTGCAATATCTGTTAGCCCATTCACATTACATGTTTCACCACCATAGTCACAAATATGTTATGTAAGATTGAAAACTTTAAAACAGAAATTAACTAATATTCTGTCATCTGAGGAAAAATAATTGCCCATCTTCAACCAATGTATGTTATATTTTTGTCCAACTCATCTCTGGGAATGAGGAGGTTGAAATTCCCTCCAGGTATAAACTAGAAATTAACATGTCTAATTCTTACAAAAACAGTTACATTACGGCATTACATTGTGCTGTACTGAATGACCACAAGAGAGGATATATATGGGTAATTTTTCTGGAAAAGTTCTTCAGCAACCAGGTTTTTGTATGTTGAGACTAGGCTATTTATGAGAAACTTTATAGTTAAATCTGAGCTTCAAATCAAGTTGCTTTAGTGAAAAGATACAGACCAAAATTAAATTCACTACTGTAGATGCTGAATACCAAATTTAATTAAAATCTGTGAAGTACATTCAGAGATGAGAGAAAAATAATGGATAGGCACAACTTCCTGTGTATATACAATTGTGGTGGAGAAAATCTCTTAAACTGCAGCCACATGGAAGATTAAGAACAAGCTGGCAGGTTAGTATTAACACATGTTATGGAAATAGATTGTAATGTTAGGAGGCAGGAGCTAGCTCAGGATTGTGTCTAATGAGCTTTGATGTCAGTGGTGATGAACATTCAGGTTCTGATAACAGTGGATATCTTTTATAAGCTCAAGTCCTAGTTTAGCCAGAAACCAAGAAAGGGGTTAATTGCTGAAAACAGAGGGAACAACAGAAACAAGACACTGAAATTTGATAAAAAAATTATAACCTTTATACAGAGGCCTACAAGAGTTTCCAGAGATATATATATATATATAAACACGTAGTGAGTAGATCAAAAAAGGTGTTTTAGACAAAAATCTGTCTGTATAATGAATATTTACGTTCTCTTTTGATATATTTAAATATTATTCTCACAGCTTTGCCCTAGCCTTGCGGCCACTTTCCACGTTTGGAAACCAAAATTCTAAATTAATTTTCCGATACACACTGGTGTACCACATGCCCTGATAACTGAAGATTTTTAAGAAAATGACTAAGAGTAACAGTATGAACCACAAAGTTCCTCAATATGAATTTCCTCCTTCACATTCATCAGTTTTGAGAATTGTTTTCAAATGTTATTTGCAATTTTTTCTTCCTTTGAAGCAATATAATATATATTGCAACCACACAAGTGATGGGGAAACAATTACTATATCTTAATGTTTTGGAAAAGGCAACGAACTGATTAATAATAATTCCCTAAATTTATCAAGAACTACATATTTGTTGTTATCATTCCCATGCATTCGATTCTGACATGTAGCATTTACAAAAGTAATCTTTTAGCATGTTAAAGAATTTTCTCATTCTTATTATACTCACCTTTTGAGTTAAATTGATATCACTAACACATATATCTCATTTCAATGGTACTTTTATAATACCCGTAACGAACCGAAAATACAAACATCTTGCAATATATGTCTGAACAATACTACAAATCCGCTGTTCACAGAATCGCCAACATAAACGCGACACAAGTTAACAAATCGATTACTTTTCTTCTTTCTAAGGGAATTAAATTGATTACAAAGCACAGATGTTTAATCCATGACAATCTTCACGATATCCAAAAACAACTTGAAATGAGGCCTTTTACGCTTTAGCGTGAAAAGATATCCAAATCACCGTAAATGTGTCAATTCTTAACTTAAAATTCGGTATAAAGGGCTGTAAAACAAACATGGAAGTTACCAATCACTTAGAAAAGTACATTTACCCATATATGTTTAACCGAGAACCATTAAATCTTAAGTGATCTGACATAATGCAGATCTGTATATATATATATATATATATAACAACTGAACTCCAACACACACTAACATTATCACTAGGTATCATTTTACTGCATTTCACATCAACAAAATAATAAATCCACTTTAAAGTGCTTCCCTCTCTTCATCTCATAGCAATTGGCTAAACCATGCATGTTCTTGTTTTAAGCCTTATATACCCTTCTTGGTATCAGATGTACATATGAGGATACCGATAAAACCATTTTTTAAATGCAAGAGTCTTTATCTAGAATAAAAACTTTTCAATAATTTAAAAAAAACCATGGAGATGGGTCTAACTTATTTCAAATTTTAGGCATTTCAAATGAAAACCTGCACTGAAAACCACCTATATCAGTTTCATGTTTTCTGCAACAGCAGCAGAACATCCTAAGTTATCGGTATAGGGCACATATACCAAATTTTATTCTGCAAATTGTTTACTATGGCATGTTTCAAGGGCCACTTTACTTAGTAAATCTTCCAAGATTTTAATAAAACTTGTTATATTGCATACAACAGTGTATATGAAAAGTCACAGTAATGTATGACCTGAAACTTGCACTGGGATGACATAGCAGACAATACTGGCAGATAGTGGTTAACTCCAGTGACTTTTGGAATGCTATGTATTATATTAACATTACCATTTGTAAATTGCATTCTCTTTGATTAATTTAAAGGGTCACAATACTTAAAGGAACAAAATGTTGTAGCAGCATTGCTGTTGCAGGAATACTGTGAAGCCTGAACTAAAAACAGCGACTATGATGGATGACTTTAGCTGAATATGGAGCATTCCCAGAATGATGACTGGTTGAGGTAAAACAAAGCACATGAAGGAAAACCTCATCAGTGATATTTTGTTGTTCGCAAATTTCACACTGGCTGCCCTGGAATCAAACCTTGGCCTAGACAGCAACAAACAACCTACAGTAGAGTCTCTACATACTATACATAACATCATTTAAAACTCACGAAATTTGCAGCATGTGTGTCAGGAGCGTGTCCTTTAATCTTTCATGGCAGGCCCAAGTAATGGTTAATATATCCACTTGAGATTCCTACATATCACTAATGCAACATTAGAAATGTACACCTCTTACAATCAAATGGAAATCATGCTTGTGCCTCTCAAATACAGAACAGATGTGATGCCAAACTCTTTCCAGATTTTGCCTGCAGGAACAGAAAAAAAAGAGACTGCGAAACTGTACGTGTGACTGTTAATGTGTGAACTATATTTAATATAAAATCTGTAGGTACATTTATCATCCATCTCCATACAGAACACATGCCTAACTCTAATGGTCCCTTAGTTATCGCCATCAAACTGAGAGCTAAATTTAGATCTCACATGATTGGCATCATGTTACCATATATGAAGAGTGTGAGACAGTCTTTACATATGGTACATACAAATTACAATTTATTTAAAATCTATAACCACACAAATATAAAAACCCTACTTTAAGTACCACTAGTGTCACTCCCACCTCTTTAGTTAGTATAGCTGCAATGTTGGTATTACAGATGACAGGAAATTTAACATAAACAAAGGTGGTGTGGCCTCTAGTGACATTATGTTCATACCAGATTTTGCAAAAATTTGTTAACTGACACAAGCCAATATTTTTTGAAGGTTAAGGGCAGGGAAGGGGGGAAAAAAGCAGTAATTATGAAATTTATGTTTAAAACATAAGAGGACGTAGACAGACACTCTGATTTTTAAGTAATGTTACTTTCTTCCTGTTTACACTTCCAGGTTGCAATTTTCTCTTCCTTCCCATTATCCCATTTAGAATATGAGCTCTACCTCCTCTCCAAGAGATAGAAGTTTGGTGGCTGAATGATTAGACAAGTCACAAGTTGGATGGACTCACATAAACAAGTACTTGAATATTTACCTAAAGTTTCATCAGATGCAGTTTTCATAACTACCAAGGTTAACATTCCACTTTTATGCATTTTTGCACAAAGTGCATACAACTAATCCATGGTGGGGACTGTCTATTCACATGTTTCAGCTCTAAAACTACTTGATGGATTTCAATGAAATTTGGTTAACATCTATATTACACATTAATCAAACAGAACTTAAGGGCATACAATTTGGGATACTTTTAACATGTTTATGTGAATATTTAATTAAATACAAGCAAAAATAATGTCAGCTTTTTGTTGCGTGTTATTACTGTGATTTAGAACAGTGGTTTTGTATTTATAAAAACTTGTTTTGCAGTGAATGAACACCAGGCAACAAGACACACAAAATTAAAAAGAATGGGTTAAATCTTTCCACTCTTGTTACCTCTAACAGTACCAATAGTTTACAGAGATAGTGGACAACAGATTACTAACAGAAAGCAATGGTCACAGACTATGTGCAGGAACTATCCTTGAAACATGGACAGGGCCACCTGAATGCTTGTGCATTGATATTAACCTTATCAACTTTCTTGGCTGTGGGTGTTTAGGGTTGGGTTTCAGGTACAGGTATCAGCTATTTTCAAACCATTAGGAAGAATTATTCTCACTCAAAAGAGGTTGCACACTCCTAATAACAAAACGTATTTAATGATGGACTTCTGTTACAGTCACTCACCTGGAACATAAGAATGAGATTTTCAACAAGAATTCTCAAAATCAACTACGAGGTATCTTATTTCTTGAAGATTTATTATAAAATCATCAAATGCTCTTTGACCGTAAACCTACAGAAGACAGCAATCATATATGTAAATTATTTGCAATTTATGTTTTTACAATTTGGACTTGTCCACTTTGCCACAGATTTGTTAAATTAATACCATGTTCAAGATGTAGCAGAGTGACCTAGCCCAACTCACATGGACTCCCCCTTTGTCCTTTAAAAAATCTGAAAATGTGTGCAATCATTTCTTTAAATGATCTTTCACTTAAGATACATTTTATCTTTCTGCAATTATGTACAAACTGAAGTTTGGTGTGCTGAATTTTTGTTGTTTTTTCTTTTTGTTTGGTCAACACTTTACAACTGTACATTGAGCGCTTCAAATAATGGCTTAGTAATATTATACTCCATTAATACTAAAACACTAATCATGCTAACTTTTATGGTTTCATAATAAATAAAAGAAACATACTTTTACTGTAGGTATTGCACAGGTGGGTCAAAGACATTGGGAATTAAAAAAAAATTAAATAATATAAAACAAAAATACTCCTTATTTTGCATGTACACATATGGCACTTTCAAAACTAAAATAGGGGCAGATTTTGACAAGAGGTGGAATGTAAATGCTCATTTTGTTATTTAAATATATATAAAAATGAAATGGAGGGTACTGGGGACAAAATATAACAAAATCTGCCACCTGTTTTAATTTTACACCCAACTGTTTCATTCATAATGAGTAAAACACCAACAAATAACTATTAGCATTTTATAGTTCTGTTAGTGCCCAATGCAACTGCTAAGAGCTGGTACAGTGTAACTTGGGGCGCAAAGGAACATCACTCCCTACACAGCACCCGGTTGCTCTTTAATAAATAATGAGGTTTATTAATACAAACATAAAAAATATTACTCATCACAGTTGTCACAAACATTTAACAATTCAATGTACACAACCGTAACTAATTATTTGCACATTTACATGGTTCAAACCATGATAATTTTCACGTCTGCATTCCAAGTTACACCTTACAAGTGACACAGTGCACTCAACGGCAACAGTATGGGTGCCAGTGTGTTTGGTTCATGCACGGTGCTCGCTGGTTGTCATTTGAATGAAACATCTGCTTCATTTCCAGAATGCACATTTTTCCAATTGAAAACGTCAAAATGATCTTTTGTCCCAATAAAACCACCTGCCATACATCACAACCTTGCCCCACTGAGAAAACAAAAGAGTATGAAAAGAGTAATATTCATCTCATCAGCTTCATAAAAAAGTTTACAAGTACTTGAGATCTTTCTTATATAATATTGATTAATTAGGTTATATTAATTTATACAAGAAACCAGAAAGTGCTAGGCAGATTATTTCAATTTTATGATGCTGAAAAACCATCACTGATTATTTTGTTTGTATACATATTTTCTTCATTTTCTAGTGGCTTGTGTCATTTACTCATAGAAAAGGGAGAAAACTTATTTCTAAATCATCATGATTACAGTACATTGCCAAACTTGACGTTCCTTTCAGCACTTGCTAACACATTCTTATTACATGGGAAAGATGATGGAGAGGGAAGAAAAGGTTTGATTAAAAATTTAATCGTGGGCTGAATCAATGTCACTGGTGGTCATTTAAAAAAATCGCTGAAGTTACCTACATGTGATCATTTACGTCACTCACATGAGTATGGGTTGTCAGCCTTGGTAAAATTAAAAACAAGTTTATAATACCATGGATAAGGGGGCTGGGAGGAGGGGAAAAGTCTATATCCTACAATACAAGTTTGAACTTCCAAAGCTATTTATCAACTAACTATACAAATGTTTGTGTTTCTTCTTCAAATTACGATAAATGTAAACAAGGTGTACCTTTAAAGAAAAGAGCACACTGAGTTTATAAGAAATATTTTCATGTTGCATTTCATTAAGTTTGTAATGCTAACAATGATTGGTTCTATCATCTGTTAAGCAATGAATATTACTTCATTTGAAGATATTTATTTAAATGTTTTCCACTGAACGAACGTTCATTTCGCTTAGTCTCGTCTGGAGTAGCATTTTGTAAAATAAAATTAACAAATATTATGTCAACTGATGCACCACTAATATTTCTTGGTTTCCATATGAACATATTTTGCTTTATTTTTAGTTTAGTTCATTTTAAATTAAAGATGTTCACCACTACTTTGCACAAAGTCTGCACAAAAAACACAGCCTTGCTAAGCCAAATACTTGGATTGTTGTTGAACAGCTTGTCTTCCCTTAATACTACACTCTTGTCAGTTCTCCCCTGTCCCACCCTTCCCAGAAGTGGCACTTTTTACATGTTAAGTGGTACTGGCATCATTTGCACATTTATTTACACAAAACAGGTAGTGACACAGTAGCAGTAATACAAGTAACATTAGCAGTTGTCATCGTAACGGTGAGAGTAATAACAGAAAAATGTGAGTGATAGCAGTGGTAGTGGCGGTGATGTGGATAATGGTGACAAAGATGGTATGCCACTGTCACAACAGAAGAAGAGAAGAAAAGATTTCGGCAGTGTAAGTCCTCTCAATCAACATGGTTATCTACTCAACCACAAACCTGTCTCCTCCACACCACTTCAAATATATCAACATTCAACACACGAGATAAAGAGATCCAGGAGGGAAATTTTCATAAATGGATAAGAAATGAAGTCAACTTTACAATTTTCCTTGAACACAATATTTAGAAGTATGTTTCTATACCACACACAATTTGTACAGAGACTTCCCCTCTCTCCATCTCTTAATACTTTCATATTCAATGACATGCCTCAATTTCCATCACTGCACAAAACTGCAATGAGGAAACTAGGTACAGCATTATTCACATAAAAATCCCCATAATTTAAGTACTTAGATACACACACTTCCACTACTACAATTGTTCCACAAATTTTGAAAGCTTGTCCTGAGGAGTCATTGGGGGCAAATCATTGGGATCATTTCCCCCCTGTGTGGGTCCTTGACCACTTGATCCTGCTGAGCCCGGAGGGGCACCTGCAGGGGAGGGGTGGTGAGGCATACCTGCCCCTGCCCCATGTTGCTGTCCAGCACCAGCCCCTGACAACTGAGAGAGCATCATCTCACTGCTACCTCCCAGATCAGGTGGATGGTGTGCAGGTGAATGTGTAGGGGTCACATGTGGGGGGGGAGGATGGTGGTGTGGGGACGGAACGGGTCCTGCACCACCACGCGGGGAAGGTACGGGTTGGTTGCGTGGCGAGGGAACGGGCCGGGGCGACGGATTGGGCTGAGGTGACCGAATTGGAGGGGGGGATCTCACAGCCTGCATTAACTGCTGTTGCTGCTGAACAGAAATGCCAGTGGCTGAGCCTGTTCCAGGTGGTGGGCCCATCATCATTGTTCCTGCACCTGTCCCCTGCGGTGATGGGACAGGTGGTGGCGTGGGTTTTAGTCCAGGTTGCTGCTGCTGCAACACTTGCTGTGCTACCACTGTACCCGGTTGTTGCACATACTGCGTAGGCTCAAAACTAACATTTGGGTAACTGACAAGATGCCCTTGCTGCTGCTGCCTGCTTGTTGGAAGCCTCTGCTGCTGAACATACGGTGGAGCGGGCGGCTGTTGGAATGGACCTGCCTGTTGTTGCTGTTGTTGTTGTTGCTGCTGCTGCTGCCGCTGCTGCATGCTAAGAAGCTGCTGCTTGTACCATTGTTGATGTGGCATCATCTGCTGGCCCTGTTGTGGCAGCACAGTACCCTGCTGCTGCTGCTGACTCAGCATGGCCTGCATCTGCATGCGACCTTGCTGCTGCTGCTGCTGTTGCAGCTGTTGTTGCTGAGGGGACATCATGTGCTGCAGTTGCTGCTGATGTCCACTACCAGCCTGGCCTTGCTGCTGACCAGCCTGCTGTTGCTGGTTCTGGTACACCTGACGTTGCTTGATAAATGCAGCCATGAGCTGAGGATTGCTTTTCAGAATTTGAAGAATCTGCTGCTGTTGTTCAGGTGAATTGGGGGATTTGAGCGTCTGCAGGAGTTGCTGAAGTGCCTGTTTGTGCAGGGCAGGTCCCGCAGTACCAGGCATGCTGCCACCACTGGTTGGAGGTGGGCGAATACTGATGGGAGGGATCGGTCCACTGATGTGACTACCTGTTAACATACTTGACTGGGTGGGCTGAAGGTGTGGCGGTTGTGGCGGCTGCTGAGGTTGCTGCTGCACTGCTTGGGGTGTGGTCTGACGCAAGCCTGGGTTCTGTAGTGTCGCATTTGGAACATACCTACAGCCAAGACAGTGTCTCTTTGAATCTTGCAAATTCAATACAAACTCCTTTTTCACCCAAATGGTAACACACTGAACACATTCTAGAATTTGTTTTATATATTAGACCCCTGAACCAAAATTCAAGTCTCTCTCAGATTAAAAATACCCTATCATTGTATGGACCATATTGAGATGCAATTATGGCGGCAGATTCATCCATCTTGTGTATCCTTTTAAAATACGAGTTGAAAGATTACACCAACATACTGCTTATCTACCTTTGTCCTGATAGACCAGATATGTAACAGCAAGATCATGTGGTGGGACATATAGTTCTGAATGTGAGTAAAACAATGTAATTACATGCATGCACACCTTAATTTAGTTGTCTGACCCTAGAAATGACAAGTGTGGCTAATTATTCTGAAAATGCAACTGCCAATTTTGTGAAGTTCAGTAAGACAATTTATTTCTGAGAGGATACCGTTGTTATAAATGACAGATGGCCTCACACAAAAACATTAATTAAGTATAAATATGCAACAACTGGCAGATTTATAAAAATATTTCAGCTGTCACACTCAAATAAAATGTAAGGAACTTTGAACTGGTTGTGAAATTGTTTACATATCTTGAATGTGTTTATAACTTCAATGCAGACAGGCACTGTTATATTAGTTCTAGAGACAGAAGAAATTATTTTCCAGGTTATACTGTACAATTTCCTAACCAATACCTTATAGTTTGTGCAAAGGTTATGCATCGAGACTAAAAAATACACAAATATATTTTACAAAATAAAAACACTTGCCATTATAGGATATCAGATTAGTGTTCTCAGTAATGTAAGCAAAATTATTAATTAACTTAGTACCAGGGCTGTGGAGTCAGTACTAAAATCTCTGACTCCGGCTCCTTCATAAAAGCTCAATATGTACTGATAATGGTAAACCTACTACAATGGTACCATACGACATTTCATCACCACCACATGAATCATCAGGCTACTTTTTAGACTTATAACCTATATTTAAATATAAGTCTAATGGTTATTGCAGAAATCGGTTGGTTTGTAGACAGTTTATATTCTTAAGGTACCGGAGCCAAAGTTACAAAGCATTATTCGCACACCATGTGGCTCAACGTGTCATTGAATCTCCCTAAGCTTGAGGCTGACATGGTAGCGAAAGCATTAAAATAGTATTTTCTTAAGATTCTATATCGAGGTCAGAGTCGGTACATTTTTACCGACTCCAACTCCACTTAAAATTGCTTCTGACTCCGCAGCCCTGCTCAGTACTGGATATTTTCTCCAAGAGAGTCAATGTCTCAATTTTAGAAAAGACTGTATATACTCAACATGCCATCAACTCTACCAAAAAAAGTAATACCAATGATATACATATCTACATAAATTACACAAATTGACAAGACTTAAGAATATCATGACCCATACTCAGTATGTAAAATTAAATCTTGATATTTATTTCTGAAAACTAAATTTCTAAAAACCTCAGAATTATGACAGAATCTAATATATATCTCCTTCTTGGTCTTCTGGGTAGAATGTCCCTAAGAGCTTTCATCACCAAAGTTGTGTCAGCATTTCCTTTCTCTTCAGATTTACATATCTGGTACACTGCAACCTTCTCAATTCCACTATCCTAATAGCAGTATGCAATCTGAATACATAAGAAAATTTATTGTTATACACTATCCTAAATAGCTTACTTACCTTTCTTGGGCCTGAATAGTTTTTGAAAGTATTTTGAAAATCAAGGTCAGGAGATAATGTTATTACAAAAACACACTTCTACATAAAATGCACATACCTCCATTGGTCGATGGTGGGAATTAAATGTGCATTTGATGGGCCAATGGGACCTATTGGTGGTCGCTGCATCTGTGGGGGTGGCATCACCTGAGGCTGTCCTCCAATTGCACCCAGAGGAGTCACCTTGCCAGGATAACCAGTGTGAGGAGCTTGCTGACGGGCTGCTTCCTCCTGTACCTGTTAAGTAATGAAAACACCAGTTAGCATTAACACAAAATGTGTAAGAAGCTTTAATTGAATGACTTCCAGAAAGAAACCACAGACTTGATGTCATAATCTGCACAAGTCACAAAAAGGAAATAAATACAAAAGGAGAAATGGAAAACATTATGTAATCAACATTCAGCAAGATGCCAGAAGCTTAGTCCTCAGCACAGCAAAGCAAAAGCAAAGGTAAAACTTCATGTATGTTTGCACTCTATAGGACACAGAAAGTGGAACATGTACTGTTATGTTCATACTCCATTTACTACCCTGGTGTTGAATGCACTGATACATTCATACTTGTCACAGGGGTAATAAAACAGCTTTCAAAATGAAAAATGAGTCCAGAAATTAAAAATGGATAAAAAATCCTTGCCACCAAGTTTAATTCTGTGACAAGTACTCTTAACTAACCTGCTTAACAACTTGCAGCACGTTGGCAGGTGGTGTCTGTGTGCCAGGCTTGCTGCCGGCAGGTTGGTGGGGGGTCTGGAGACTCACCATGTTGCCTGCACCTGGTTGACCACTCATTACACCAGTCTGGCCCACTGCCCCGCCTGCCAAGACACTTCCTGGTCCTCCTGTACTCGAGTTGCCTGGCAGAGCACCAGATGGCACAGTGGACCGGGTGTTCATTACTGCCATGCGGCGCCTTAACAGCTGAGCCTGCTGTAACCTCTGCTGCAGTTGCTGCTGTTTCAGTTTATGTTTGATGTTCAAGCAGAATGGCACAGGACATTTTGTTTCCTGCAGTCACACAAAATCAAATTCGTAAATTTGAGACACCTTTTCATTAGTGAAATGGAGTATGTTGTAAAACATCCAAACCTTCTTTTATCATTTTTATGAACAATTTCTCTACAAGTCAAGTTATTATGATTAATTGTTAATGTAGACTTTAAATCACTAGAATAATTTTTGCATTGTTCATGGGATATAGGAAAAGCAGAAATTATTTGAACGATTTTGGTTTCAAAAACTGTCAACATCTCATTTTGTGTACATGGCATGAGATATAAGGTTCAAATAGCAGCGATGTCAGCGGTGCAACACTATGTGGAATTTAGGTAAATACCAACATTTTGGAGGAACATACTGCAGTATCTTTGGTAAATTCCTTTGAAAATTTGTATCTGTCTACAAGCCCACATAGCGTTACAACCGAGAAGATCAATATCATCATTTCATATTATCTGTGATTTAAATTTGATTTGTAGTAGAGGTATACTGATTAGTCTGTTTGACACTATTAGTCAC